AGGGTCCAGCTTTCCCTCAGCCCACACGCGTGTCCTCGCCCCAGGGTCCAGCTTTCCCTCAGCCCACACGCATGTCCTCGCCCCAGGGTCCAGCTTTCCCTCAGCCCACACGCGTGTCCTTGCCCAGGGTCCAGCTTTCCCTCAGCCCACATGCATGTCCTTGCCCCAGGGTCCAGCTTTCCCTGAGCACTTGGGGGAGCCACACCCCTAGGCCGGGTCTCGCCTGCCTTTAGCACAGCCGTGCCATAGAGGCAGTTTCAACTTTCAGCTGCATTGTCCACTCACCCTGCCCCGCTTTGCTGACCTTCTCTCTGTGCTGGGCTGAGCAGCCTAAGGAGGTCTCTTGTTACAGGTCAGCAAGCTAAATAAATCCTTGTTTGCAAAATGCAGTTTGAGCCTGGTTCACTTCCTGTTGGCCCTGCCCCTAGGAATGTAGGCTTGGGGGGCACTCCCAGGGCGACCAATGTAGGCTTGGGGGGCACTCCCAGGGTTGCCAAGTGGTCAGTGAGAGGAGAGGAGGTAAGAGGGAAAGTAGCTGGCCAGCACCTGGCTCGGGGCTGGGACCTTAGTACATATAGGTGTCAGTTGGGGTCCCTGTCCTCATGGACACACCCCGAAGGAGCAGGGGCCTGTGAGACCAAGGTTGTGAGCACAGGCATATTGGAGAGCACTGAGAGGTGGGCCTCACCACAGGGAGGAGGGGGAGGAAGGGGAAGAGGATGGAGCTGGTGGCTGACAGCAGAGTCCCAGTGTACAAGCAGTCAGACCCTGACCCGTGACAGATTGTCAGCACAGGTGTGGAAGAAGTGTTGTGATTAGAGGGACAAATCAGGGTAGATGGCAGGGGGCCTGGCACACTACTCTAAGTCGTCCAGAGTCATTAGGAGCTGGGGCCAGTTTTAGAACAGAGAGAGAGGTGGGACCAGAGTCATGTCTGTGGAAAATGTACCTGTTCCCCAGCTGTGCTGGACGGCATGGGGAGCGGGCGGGGCCGGGGCAAGGCCGCGGGTTGTGAAGCGGCCTGGTTGGAGGTCCTCACCTGCCCTGTTGTGCTCTTTACAGGGAGGCATTTACCATTCCCCTGATTCCTCTTGGACTGAAGGAAACAAAAGATGTGGACTTCTCAGTCGTCCTCAAGGTAAATCTCAAAGCAGTGGGCACTGGACTCGGTGGGCACTGGACTCAGTGGGCATACAGAAACTGCATCCCTGAGGCTCAGTAGGCCAGGAGTCTGTCAATGACTGCGGGGTGGTCCTGAGCCCCCTCTTGGCCAGCTACTCCAGGGTTTATATATTTATTCCTCCTGTATTCTTGCTGTTGTCTTTGGTGACTTATTTTTTGAGACAGAGTCTTACTCTGTTGTAGAGTGCTGTGGCATCATAGCTCACAGCCACCTCAAACTCCTGGGCTCAAGCGATCCTCCTGCCTCAGCCTCCTGAGTAGCTAGGACTATAGGTGCACACCACCACACCTGGCTAGTTTTTTCAATTTTTTTTTAGCAGAGATGGGGTCTCTTGCTCAGGCTGGTCTCTTAATTCCTAAGCTCAAGCAATCCATCCACCTGGGCCTCTCAGAGTGCTGGGATTACTCTTGTGCCCAGCCTGATCACTCTTTTGAAAAGTAATCGGTGAGTATTTTGGGAGCTTCTGCACTTGACCTTGTTTTCAGACAGAGACTCACGGTCTGCTTGAGCTAAGTTGGGCCTTTTTGACCACAGCTTTGTTTACATCCAGGTCCTAGTCCCTGAGTTTGGGATGTACTTGGGGATTGGAGACGGGAAGTTCGTGGTGTTTCAGGGCTCGGGTGCACTCAAAATTTGATTTTCTGGCTGGAAAGCAAGTCTGGAGCAGCAGCTTTTCAGCAGGCTTTCACAGGCCTTCAAAACTTTTGAATGCTATGTGCCAGCAGTCGGCGGGGCTCTAAGCAATCCAGGTGTCTGTGGAATGTCTTTGGATGCTTTTGTAGACGTTTCTTTAAGATTTAGTTGGTTGCTCAGTGTCAGCCCTTGCAAGAAGGGGGGCCCTTCAAAGGGAGGCTTTCTTGGAGAAACTTAGGAATTTTATGGGCGTTTCTAAGGGTCCAATTAGATCACATGCTGAATTCCACATTAAAGCAAGTGAAAAAATACCACATATTGTGGGCACGACCAGCTGCTGTTCAGCTGAGTTTCCAACCATGTCATTTTAGCTTGAAAGGGACTCCACAGATGTCAATCATACAAAAATGAGAACGTTTGGGGGGCCATTCTGTTTTTTCCCTTCCACATTTGTGTTTGAGAGAAACACAGGCAGCTGGTCCAGCCACGTAATGAGGACAATTCAATTTAAAATCGGCCCTGTGCGTCCATGTGATGGCTTATGACAAGTAAAGCATCATGATGTGATTTTGTTCTATTGTATTTTTTTAATTATTTTTATTTCTTTGCAGCTTTTGGCCGTGGCTGGGTTTGAACCCGCCACCTCTGGCATATGGGGCCGGTGCCCTACTCCTTTGAGCCATAGGTGCTGCCCCGATTTTGTTCTATTTTAAAGAATTGGACTTTAAAGTGGCTATATTTAAAGAAGAACCATCGGCTCAGCACCTATAGCTCAAGCTGCTAAGGCGCCAGCCACATACACCGGAGCTGACGGATTCAAATCCAGCCTGCGCC